GTGAAGAACAGGACCGCTGTGGTAAAATATTTACGAGGGAGGTGGGAAGGGTGGAGAAAGCATAGACGATTCCGTTTCGCTGTGCGTAAATGTAACATTTATTTCGGCATAAATTATGACGATAGATACATAGATTAGGTATAGATACAAAATGAATTGACTGTAGACAGGACTGTAGCGAAAATACACCAATGCATTTGTCGCACCAGTATTCGTACTCGATTTGTTCCGCTTGCTCCCGGTAACTCCGATCGGCGCGACTAATCTCTTCTCGCGGACGATGTTCGATCTCGGGGAGGAGAGCGGTTCGCGATCGAACGATGCGCGAGATCGTTTCGCCGTCGACGTTTCTTATCTGATTTTGTTGTTTTCCAAGCGCGTGGAAATGGGGGAGGAAGAAGGAGCGAGCGTGCTTTGACGGTTTTCATCGGTGACGGGATAATCGAACGTAATCGGATGGCCGCGCGAACGGGCCTTATAGAAAATACAAAGTCTCGAGTTTTCTGAGCAACGTGTTACTCGCACGGCGAGCTGCACTTCCTTCGCGACGTCTCTACTTATGTATCCCTGACGTTGAGCGACTAGACCTAAAGCGATCTTTGATTTTCGTGAGAGCCCCGGGCGAATACGACCCGGGTGGGGCTATATTTTTTGATTCTTCGCGCTCGTAGACGCTCGCGGACTCTAAGTTCGGCGAAACGACCAGGACTTTGACAAAATGCGCGACTACTTGACACCGAACGAGAGAACGCGGTGGGTTCCCATCGAGCGGAGACCAGCCTGTGAACGAATCTTTTAACGTGAAACGAAAAAATTCCGTGGAACGCAACGATTTGGCAAAATATCGCGTTGCTTGGCGCTACATGCGTCGTAATCTACTTATTGTATGTATATCGTGTATGTATATATAATATAATATATATATATTTATATTTATATATATATGTATATACATATGCATGTACATGTATATGTATATCATTTTTACGAACCGTTCCACGATTAATTAGGATCATCACAGCCATAGCTTTGAATACGAATCTCTCGTTCGTATTTTTAAGACCGATACAATTATAGTTAATAATCCGTTTGGCGATATTAGTAAAGATAAGTTGCGGACCTTTCTACCGGTTATCGTTATATTTTTTTTTCTACCAGCTACACATCGATTACAACGAGATTCGAATGCGATAGTCGTACGAGATATCGAACGAGACAGAACCTTTAAACTCTTTGGAGCGAACGAGAATCTGGGATGGAAATAGAACTAAGCGACAAGCAGGCTACCTACGTATTCTATCGTATTCGCTATGCTATCCGAGACAAACATTGCAACTACGGTACAGGCAAAAGATTTTGACCGATCGAGGCTTTGCCCTCGCCTCGTTGCAACGCGATTTTCGATTTTCGATTTTCGATTTTCGATTTTCGAGCTTCTGATCACCGATAAGCAGCCTTTTAACACGGACAGTTGGCGTAATAGCCTCACGCGATTAAAATCTGTTGCCTTTACATATCTCTCGAGCGCTATCAAGCGCTATCGGACGTCTACTTGGTAACGAGAACGATTACTTGACGAAACTCGACTATCGTATCCTAAACGGAATATCCGAGGTTCTTCTCCCGACGACGACAAATCGTCCTCGTTCCCGTCGCGCGCGTCGACCACGCGAGCTTTACATTCGCGCGAACTTGCGAATCAGCGATCATCCTTGTCGCCTAGAAAAAATAAAATTTACAGTTCGGTCGATCGCAATGGCAGCAAAGACGCGACTAGTTGTCTCGATTCGCGCCGGTCAACGCGCGGACAGGACCAAACGATTTTCGTCGCCAAAGGAAATTCGATCGGACGGGTGACGACGACGACGACGACGACGACGACGACGATAACGATAACGATAACGATAACGACGACATCGACTTTCCTACGACCACTACGATACGTTCTACGATTATAATCTCTCTATAGTCGGAGGATAGATTTCCAGCCGCTTCCTGTTTTCCGTCCCAATCGTCCGAATAAAATTTTAATACTTTTATCGCGACGCTCGACCTTTCCGGCCGAACAGATCTCATCGATAGGCTTCTAGGAATTTGTCGATTCGAGAGCCACGGTGGCCTGGGCGAACGATCGCGGACGGAATTTCGGAAGCCGAGAAGGTTAAAGACAGACTAGAGACCCGTTGTGCAGCTGACGATGATAGGCGTCGCTTCTCTTTGGTTTCGAAGAAAGCGTGCATCCGCGGGTCGAAGCTACGGCTAAGTAGTTAGGAGGGACCGTGATATCGGACGTACGTTCATTTAAACGGCTACCTACCGATCTAAACCGGCTACTCGAAAAAGAAGCGAACACACAGAAAACCGTATCGATAAACGAGGACGAGTACCTATCGAAAAATTCGAGTGCTTTCGCATGGACAACACTTTATCGCGCTAAGTTAAAGAGAATACTCGAGATAAGCGGCGCGAACAAGTTCTACGTTTTTCCAAGCAAGCTTAACGCTGAGTATATCTGTCTTTCGAAGGTTGCGCGACGAATGTTTCCACGAAGCGCTACGCGTACTACTTACCGCGCTCGACGGTAGTCGCAATATCGAAGCAACTACTGGCGTAAAGTGCAAACCATAAGCTTTACGATCTCGATGAACAACGTGAGATTTCTGCGGAAGCAATCTTTCGAGAGGACCCAATAGCTACGAAGCTTTTAACGCCGGAGAATCGTAAGAAAACCGCTCGCTTAATCCGATCAACCACAACCAAGGAAATTAATAAATCGGAAATTTCGGAAAAAATATTTCCATTCGAGGTTTCCTTCTCGAGAGAATCTATCGCGAAGATCGACGAAATAAGCGATTGGATCTCGCGTCTGGCTCAGACTGGTTAATTCTACTTGTGTCGGTGTTTCTGAATATTGACGGTGATATCGTTTGTTTATTTGTCGTTAATCTTACTATCTTCTAGCTAGTCGATACCAGGTATAGCGGGTAATTCCATAATCCACCATTAAGATCTACAATCAAGTAAAAATAATCTGTGAATTTCCATATACAACGTCGAATTTGGAAGTTAGAAAGTTTGTGTCGGATCCTCCCGAAAGTCGAAGAAGCCTACGATCGAATCCGTGCTAAATCTAAGGACTAGAGTCTGCCAGACTAAACGTCGCGTCTCTACGCTAAACTAACGATCTACGATATCGAGCTAGTTTCCTCGAAACTTTACCTATCAGCTTTTAGACGAACATTTGTACGCTGTTTCCATAGCGACTTTCTACGCGGTATTCGCGACTCGGGGGAACGAGCGCGCGAGTTTCGCCCTCGAAATTATAAAGTTTCTCGACGAAAAACGCGAAGCAGTTTTATCGTCGACGCACACGATCGGAATTGGGCGCGCGAGGTCGGCGCGTAAACGGAAGACGAAAAAACGTTTTAACGGAAAACAGCCCGCTCGTCCCGTTCCCGTCGAATCGCGAAAAACCATTAAACCCTGTAACACGTAATAGCACTCGACTAAATGGCACGTGGAATCCGATCGGAATCGATCGTTTTCTTTTCTGATGCTGACGCGACGATCGCGGCGGCGACGGCGACGGCGACGGCGACGGCGACGGCGACGGCGGCGTCGCGATCAACAACCGCGGCGAGAACTTTGTTCGATAAATAGACGGGCGAACGGACGCTGAGAGGGATGAATGGATGGATGGACGCATGCATGGACAGACGGAGGCAGCGGAGAATGGCGGAAGCAGACGTCGAGGGTGGGAGAAAGAGAAGCGTTGTCGTTTCAACTACATAGAGGGATGCCGTTGCCCCGAAGCCATCGTCGGAACGCGCGTAGCCATTCAGATACGATAAAACGAAATGCTTAAGCCGTTCTTTCGCCTATAGAAAGCGGCTACGAGGAAGATTAAGAAAAATGCTATAGCGAGATGCTTTCGTAGGACGAGGTGCTGGAAAAAAATAGATACACCGTTTCTAAAAGGGTTTCGAGATATCGACGAAGGCTTTTCCCATTTGCGCTGGACACCCTGTACAACGTTAATATTGGCGACTAGTAAGCGATAACGTTCCGGATCGCGTCGGCCAGCTGGAAGAACGACATTGAAACGCGACACACGCGCGTTCAACCGATCGGCAAACAGCAACTTTAGCGATCGTTGGATCGCGCCTTACATCTACACCGACCATATTTGAGCAAAGCCGGAAGTACAAAAATCCTCTGGATGGCGAGATTACGAAGAGCTCGTTGTATAACGCGGAACTGAGTCTCGGTCGTTCGTTCGGTCGAGTCGAGACGGGTCGAGTCGGCCGACGAAAGATCGATGTTAATTTTATCGGGACGCATCGTGACGCGGTCGAGTTTCTACTTCGAGTTAACAAAAATAAGTATTGCGACGTGTCTGCGCCGATTCACGATGATCCCGCGTGAAGAAGAGCGTGTCTGAGGTCTGACTACCGCCGGTGAGCTTTTTCTTTTATCTTCGCGCGGTACAAGTCTCAAAGATACAGGAAGCGTAACGAAGCTCGTGGCGCCCCGTGTAAACCGGGCAGAGTGTACCGTTCTAGAACCGCATGATTTCGCTGTCCCGACGAACGGATTTACGATCGTCCGGATCGCGAAGACCGGCATCGGCCTGGCGGATCCTACGAACATGGTCAATTATGCGGGTGCAAAGCGGAGCGGAGCGAACGGTAGACCCGGAGGCGGCGCGCATCGCGTCAAGGAGGGCGCATAGGAAACCACAGGATGCTGCAGTTGCATACGTATCGCCTGCGAGATTTACGACCTTACGTACTAATACTTTGGAAAATGTTTTGGTTTCCCCGATCACCGTTGCTTTGTATACTCGACTTAGGTATCGTTCGTCGCTAGTTAAAAACTACTTAATTCGAGCTAAGTTAAACACTACCTTTGGACGTTTGGCATTTTGCTTTTTTGTTCGCTTCTTTGGCTGCTCGCGATGCTCTATTTACTTTTGACGCGCGGCGCTGATCGGCTGTAGCGGTCCTCCCGGCTCCTCCGCGATTCCTGTCAATTCACGAACCGGAAGAGACAAGCGTCCGGAGACGCGGTACACGCGACGCGATCGTCGTTCTCCGGACGAGAAAGAGATTCCTCGAGGAGGAAAGAGCCGTAGAAACGCGACGCGGCTCTTTCCATTCTACGTGTAGTGTTCGCAATCCCCACACTCGGACAGCGTGGGTGTGGACGGACACTAGGTGGTGTTCGGGTCCTCGTAGGCCTTCTCGTAGTCCCGTCGACGGATCACCGCAAAGTGAGTCATCTGGAATGAGTTGGTCTTCTTGCAGCCACGTTCCAGCGTACCCGTCATACTGTAACCCATGTTGAAGTCGCTCGACGAAACGTTCGACGTCAGGTACAACTGCCGACAGAAACAAACGAGCGTCGTTCAGAATACGAGATTCGTACGCCCTCGCGCCTATTCCTCCAAACATTTACAATGCACCCTACGCGAACGCGACGCATTTCGAGCAGCGTTCGCGACCAACTTTTGATTAATAACGGCCCGGGGATGTAATTTCTCTTTCCATCGTGAACGCGTGTTCGCTCGTACGCGAAATATTTTATTTAACATTACCGTTTAGATTGCACGGGCGATCCGCACTCTTCCGTTCGTACAAGCAAAGCAATGTTTAATTACGTTGCGATTACTTTTTATCACAAGAACAATTGACACTGAAAATCTGCGATCGTAAATCAATAATTTGTAATCGTTGGGTAAGAGATTAGTGTTACTTCCTTCTTGAAATCTAGTTACGTTATCTGATTTAAAAATTCTTCGTATCACGATCAGATAAAATATATTAGTAAATTTTATTAGCGAACGCGAAATAAATTTATTAAAATTAAATTATATTTTTGTGCCCGCTCCATAATCAATTGGTTCGCGTTTCATGATTAATTTATCCGGGCACCTGCTTGTTTGATCAATGGATATATATTTTTTTCAAACGTCAAGCATTAGTTCGTGTTTAACGATTAATGAGATTGCTCGGTAATTGATAATATTAATCGTTAACGAGATCGCATTTGGCACGAGGGTGTTGGTTTCCGGCCGAGTTTGGCCCCTTGGATGCTGCTGCGTCGTCAGAGAAAAGCATCCTAGGGGTGGGTTTACGTTCGCGTAGCAGGCACTCGTGTGTAGGTGCTGCTAACGTTCGCGTTTTAGCGTCGTAAATTTCCTCGTCACCTATACGTTACGCCGTTGCCGCACAATAGAAGCCACTTTAGAATTTGGGTCGTTCGAAAATCCCCGGGTTTCTCCGCCCCGTCTCGGAACGCGACACTTTCCTGAGAGACGATCGTCGACGAGTAGGCAAACGTGAAAAATTTCGGTATTTTTCGACCGATACGAGACTGTATGACCAGCACTCGCCATGTGTATCAATTACCATATCATTTACGAATGTTTGCTTTCGCGTCGGAACACGAGTTTCTTTCGATTTTCTTAGAAATCGATCAAGATTTTCCAGACTCACGTGCAAAGCAAACGTGAATCGTGCTTCGGTCGGAAGACATTAGCGACTAGTTAGAAGAGTTTAGCGATTCGTCGTTAACGAATTCGACAATTTTCCATCGTGCTCTAACGTTGTTCCAGCCTCCGAGTTACGCATTCGTTACGATTCGACTCGTTTCTGCGCGAATAACGAACCGAACGCCAAACGATGGTGCTCGTACGAAACGAAACCCCGTTTGAATTGTACGACAATATTTGTTTTCAATTAGAACCTTTCGCGATACGTAGTAACGACGGTACTTGCCACGCGTTCGATCGAAGGGATCTAATTTTGGTACCGATATATTCCGAGGTAAAAATCACACGTAATTGCGCATCGATCTCTGGTCGCAAAATGTGGCGAACGTGCGAAATTATCTCGCAACTGTGATAAACGTACCTTGAAATCGGGATCGGTCGTCATTCTCTTGAAAGAGCCGATAATGTAAAGCGTCCCAGTTCCCGTGTCCACCATTTTCGCCTGAGTGCTGTACCTGAAATCAAAGCGGTTAATTCGTTGAGCAACCCGTGGAAACGACGAGAGAAAACGAACAACCCCATTTCGATAATCGAACGTTACAGGAGTTTATTAACGGTGGGCGTGATTCTTGTTGATTTATACATTGGACAGCGTTCGATCGAGCCATTTAACGTCGATCGGCAAACCGTGCGTAAATATTTATTCCGGAGGCGCGTGATAATGAGACCCGAAATCGCGAACGTCGGGACGCATGGCGTACGGTTCCGGGGGTGGGAAATTAAGAGAGCGAGCGTGCCGATTTTCACGGGTCAAAATGTTCCAGCTGTCGCCGACAGCCGACAGCCGACAGGTCGCTTGCGGAAAAACGTGCACTTGGTCTGGCCCCGGTAAGCGTTTTATCGTCCCGTAAATCGGTAATGCGATTACCGTCGCCCGTACGCGACACGGTTTACGGCAATTTGTTTTCTCTGCTCCTATTTTTCCCCCATTCAGCCGACGCTTTATGCTCCGCCGGCGGGTTACACGCTGTCCGAGAAACTGCTGTTGGAAGAGTCGAAGAGACGACATCTACTTTGTTCGGAAAGTTTCCACGGGAAAAGCGAATACAGCTTAACGGCAAGAACTTACAACGATCCATGCGACGGGCAAAGTAATCGCGTAAAAATTGTACGAATTACCTGCGCGGAATTCGAGATATCTCGCCTCGATCACAAGACGTACACGGAGTTTCCATCGAATAGGGATTTTCGAAAAATTGTTGGAACCTATCCGATATATATTTCAAGACGGATAACAACTGAACCAGGGGTGAGCACGATGGATGGAGAAACCGAGAATAAAACGTGCTATTGGATTACTTAGGCGCAGTCGTACGCGCGAAACGAACCGAGAATAATTAATAAAAGAAGAAAGGTCGGGAAAGGAAGAGAGTAGCTCGAATGGAGAAAAATGGCGACGGGGAAGGGGTTGGCGGAGCGTTTTCGGAAGCGGGAGGATGGTGGATAAGCAAGGGTGGAGAACGCGCGAGTGGGGACTCCCTGGTGACTCGAGGGGCTTATTCCGGCGAGCGCTTCAGCCGGCGACGATCATTAAAAGTTTAAACGCCCTCCATTGAAGTGCGGCGGATCCAACACTCGGTTTAAAATCCACTATGGCTGGTGCTTTGACTTTTCCTCCGGTCCTCGATTCGCTTCACAAAGGAAACTTCCAACCGGAGCACCCTTTCGATGCTCGACCCGTCCGCGACGCGACGCGAACCGCGCTTTACGTGCGAGCATCGATTGCCTCGGCTCGTTCCTCCGCGAGAAATCTCGAACTCGATCTTTGCCTCGATGTCGAACCAACGTCGCGCGACTCCTTCGATAAAGGTCTCAAAGAAAATTATTCATTCCTTTGTACCGGCGCTGACTCGAGCAATAACGTAAGCGCTGTAGCGTCTAGCGCGGAGGAGATAATCGTAGAACGAAGACATAGAACGGCCCCAGGCTACTTTCGAACCTAATCTCAAACGTCGCGAGCTTTGACCGATGTCGCGCTGGCCGAGCTACGCAAAGCCAACGTATTTACATCTCTGTCGTCCAGAAAGTTGGGATCAGTCTGAATCGAGGATCGTCGAACGGGTTGTTTGCCTTAACTAACGCGGTCTCGTTGCCTGCGGGCCGACGACAAAATTACCCGTCGGAGAATATTTAGGAAAGCCCGTGTACAACTTTGACCGGCTGCGTCCGTGTTCCAACTTCTTCGAGCATTGCGAACGACCGTCTCGCCTAGCCGACCGAAAGACCGTTTTCATCTAAGTCGATAACTAGTTTCGTAAACACCGGTTATCTCAACTTTTTCGCAAACTTTCCGTCTCCGCGCGAACCGTGAAGTTTTTTCAACGTTTACGATACCGACAGTCTTCCTTCTTATTTCTTCCTCGATAGAGACACCCCTTCCGCTGATGGATCATCCCTAATGACGCCGATCGAGCCGTTTTCCCCTTTTGCTACGCTCGATAATTTTTCAGGCGACGTATTTAGAAGTTTTTCTTTTTATTCATCACGATAACTATCGATTAAGAAAATGACCATCGATAAAGACCGATAATGCTGATCGAAAAGCTATCGATTCAGCGTTTCAACTTCAGTCCCCGTAGAATCGTATTTCTTAATCCCATTTTCTGCTTTGTTCTCGCGAGACCGTCTGCCAAATCCAAGGGAGAAAAATTAAAGAAAGCAGCGAGATGAAATGAGGAGGGATTGAAACGAGAAGACGGTATGCAAGGAGGGTGGCTTAGACGGAGCGTATTCCGTAAGAAAACCAGAATCGAAAGGATCGCTATAAATCGCGAAGCTTATCGGTCTGGCAGGTTGGCAGGCGGTTTAATGGCAACGGCATCTATGGCCGTTTTGCTAAAAATCGCCGAGTCTAGTTTACCGACAGATCACGCGATAGTCGGAAAATCCGTGGTGCATTATCCTCCCTTCCGGGTTTCCTTAATCTTACCGCCAAGTTTATCGCCGAAAGCAAGGCGACGCACACCGTACAGATAAGACAACGAATCCTCCACGCGCCTAGATCGCACTCGAGTTAAGAGATAAGCTGCAATTGACAACCCATGTAACGACGATACTGCCATTGCCCACTCGTGCCGAATACGATCATCGACTCGTAGGAATTTCTAGCTTCGAAACCAGCAAAATGCCTTAATCCCTTTAGCCCCTAACGCGTTAATTTTATAGCTGTATATCATAGTTTACTTTGGCCAAAATCCCGGACATGGACCACGAAAGGGGATCGATTTAGCGTAAAATGTGCCCATATTTTTTCTGTCGCGGGTCATTTCGCGACAAATCGATCACTTTTGTACTACACGCCAGCGATTTTGTTCAAATTGAAATATGTTGCAGCCTGTGCAACAACGCAAGTCATCGTTCCGTTGAGTTACAAATTGTTTACAAAGTACAGTCGCTTAAAGTTGCCAGTTTTCATCGACTTCTACAATAATTGCCTCTACGAATAAAACAAATAATTGGTTAAATGGAACAGTGATACAAGGAAAGCAAATTCTGTACTGCTCATATTTAGAGTATGCTAGCGCGGTATAGTCTCTGTACCGGGTCAAATACCGTTCTTTACTGCAAGGAACGCAACATAAATTCTTGCAGCCCTCAAAGCAGATTGCACCATCGACAAAATGAAGCAGAATTATAATTCGCGTTGTTATATGGACTACAGCGAATTTCAATTTGAGCAAAATCCCCGACATTGAGTGGAAAAGTGATCGATTCGACGTGGAAATAACGCGTCGCGCGGAGCTTAACGTTTTGCGCGCGACGACGATGCCGATCGTGGTTGCAAATCGGGGAGAACGAGCCAAGACCCAACGTTCCCGAAAGTTTCTCCATTAATTGGCCCTCTTGGCAAGTTTTCAAACCAGTTAACCTTTCTTCGAGGATGTTTGACGCATCGAAAACTTATTCCGCAACTATTTCGTTGCTCGATCCCTGCCGTCGCGCTTCTCCGACGGAAATTAGTTGCTTATAATTAGCCCCGGTAATGCGCAGACTACAAACTAGCGGAGCAAGAAACCAATGACCCGAATCGAGTGCCGTTATCCGCCGTGGTTCCTAGTACAGCGAATACTATTGATCGAAAGTTAAGAATTTAATCGAGACAAATAATCTCGATTGGTCTTGTAATAGCTGGTCGTCGTTGCTTTCAGAACTTAACTTTAACATGCATATTTTTAGTGGAGAGCTTTCGAATATTTTCGTGGGCCGGTGAGTATCGAGAACTGCTCGAGAACTCGTGGGAATAGTCTGCTAGAGGAAAATAAGAGGATACTGAAATTTCAGAAGCACCGTCCCTGTAATTCTCAGTTAGTGGCACGGCAAGCAGGGTGTAGACATTCCGACCACGTAATCTAAAAGCACGAATTTCCGTCCGCGCGAGGAATACTATTATGGCAAAACGTCATGTCGGTGTACGTGTGCATCGGCCACGTTCTCTGCGGCTGACCCCGTTAACGCCGCAACAATGTTATCGTCGCGTCGACGGGTCGCGATCGCAAAACCCTTCGCTCGTCTTAACCGGAATAAACCATCGGGGACTTACCTCCTGGTCCCAGCAACTTCGACGACCTTGCACCGACTTCGACTCCACCAGAACGGCGTCAAGGTCCAGTAGGAACTACTCGCGCTTCTCGCCCAGCCCTCCTCCGGAAACAGAAGCACCTGTGACAGACAACGAGCATCCGATGCTCGAGGTTACAATATTCCTCGCTTGTACGCCATCAATCTCTCCCCGCTTAGGGACAATGGATTCGTACGTGCCACTGCACATGATTGTATTCTCACTTTTTCATCGGTGGATGACTCGTCTACAACTTCTCGAGCTCGTCGCGAGATTAGAAAGAGTTCGATGTCTTTGAGAAACTTTGTACCTTCTTAACAAAATGCGGTGCACGAAAAGGTAGAGTAAAAGAGCAAAACAACGGGCAGGAAGAATCGAATCGGTAGGGGAAACAAGTTTCCTCTCGACAAAGGACGGCCGCGATGCGCCTTCGAATCGACTCCAGGAGCAAAGTTTTCCATCTTGCTCTCCCCGGAATTCTTCCTGCTTCCTCTGAGCAGTATTTCGTGTCACGGGATTGCCGTGTGACCGAAATACAGAGTCTACCTTGCGACGAGCGCGCGCATGCTCGTCTTTGAACTACATACGCGAACGAGCCAAGGTGGAGGACGTACGCGAGCACAAATTATCGGGACTTTGTCCGCGTCTTTTCCTAGGAAGCGTGTTGCGCTTCCGCGACACCTTGAAGTCGTCGAACCGGGTCGGAAAAATATGGAAAATCGACTCGTTTGCTCGGTTATCGAGGAACGCGCGCACAGCCATCCGTGCGACGCTAAATACCGAAATATCTAGTCGAGCTTTCACGCGTCGCTAAATACGCGAATCGCGTCATCGCGTTTCATTCGACACGCTCGACTTTGCTGAAAATCTATCCTCCCATCAAATTTCCTCCTGTTTGGCGATCGTCCGTTCGAATGGTTACCGCCCATACTCGTTGCGAACGGTCGAATTCGCGTCCAGTGACCCTCTTCTACAGGGTGATCCACACGACCGTGACAAATCGTATGGGGGCACGAGGCCTTCAGATCGGAAAATGTTCTAATGTTCTCTTGGGTTAGAACGAGTGATTGTTGATTTGAGTGCAAGTTTCAAACCTGGTTGTGTTGTTGTTCATTGAAAAGTAAGTTTATTGGTTCCGAGAAAGAATGAATATTGACAGAAGGAGCAGATAGGCAAACTGACGCTTTGAAAGAGAGATATACCTTCCTTCGAAAATAAAATTGGTTCGCTCACAGATTCCGTAAAACGATGATAGCGATCGTCGCCGCGTCTCCTGATAAAAGTTGCACGACGGCGGTTTGTCGCGTTCGGGAATCGGAGAAAATCGTCGAGGGTTCGAAAGCGTTTCGATAATTAATCTCTTCCCCGACAGACGGAATCCCGGGCGCGTTGTCGCCAAGCGGTACGGAGCCAACGAAGGCGGGGAGGGCGTTAACGAGGAGTAACTGTCCATCGTGGAACGTCGCAGCTGCGCTCGATAACGTACGCAGCGAACGACGCGACGTGGCTCGCGCTTCCGTCCGGTACAACGCTACCGATCGAATAAGTAAATCTCCTCGCGTTATCGTCACTTCCTCCGGCGCCCCTCGACGACCACCGGTTCTTTCCTCTCGACGCGTCTCGACTCGCAACTCGACGCCCGCATGTAGCGGTGGGCTGTTCGGATCTCAGCATTATTATTCACTGATACAATTTAACGGCCAATGCCCTTTTTTACAAACTCGTACAGCTTGTCACAACATCAAGTGCAATTGCTCTTTAGAGTTCTATGTCACAACTGCTATAGAAACTCTTAACGATTCGAATCTTCGTAGAGCTGAAAACTTGGAATCGTTTGAAAGTCGAGGTTCGAGCAGCCCGTCACTATCGGCGCCGTCTCGTTCCGCTCGCGTCTGGCATCTCCGTAACGTTTCATTAGTCTCCCGGTCTCGTTGTCGGCTTGTCCGCTCCCTTGTTCTCGCTTTTCGTTCTGCCCTCGTCGAGGAACGCGCCCAGGCTCGTGTCACGGCGGGCGCTTAATTACACGGCCCGGAAATTATATTAATACTCGTTAAAATTCCAAGAATGATTTTCGCGCCGGGCGTCGTTCCAGCGCGAAAACGAACGGAAAACCTAGGAAGTCGACGCGTCGATGTCCGTCGGTTCTTGGACGAAACTGCGACACCCGGTTTGATTGGTAATAGAAATTTCCAACGAGCGCGCGTCGACTTCCGTTCCGGTTGCACCCTCGACGAGCACCGTGAACCGTTGACCTCGTAACACGTTACACGTTCCTAACACGCTTCTCCGTCGATGCGACGCGAGGCGCGACAAAGCGGAAAATACTTTCACGAGCGGTTCCTCGTCCCTCTTTCTCCCGGTGGCTCGCGTCGGAGCATCGACCTCGCTCTCTTCATCGACCAAGACGATTTCTGCCGGCGCGCAGAGACGCGAGGAGCCCGACAAGACGCTGGCAATTCGTTTTCATAAACGCTCGCGTTATATCCGATTTTCTGGCGTTTATTTCGGTGAATCCCATACGGATATATCCGTATATCGTGGAGGGCGGTGCAGAGAGAACGGAACGCACCCTCCGTCGCGCGGAAGGATCCAGTCCGCTGGGGGGATCCAGAGGATCCAGGGATCCATCCGGCAGTGAACGATAGCTCGCGCGCCGGATATACCGGTTAATCCGATAATCCGCTGCTTCGGTCCATTGCCGCGTCATTCGCTCCATCCTCGTCTTCGTCTCTCTGCGTGTACACGGTGTAAAAAAATTATTGCTCGCGGTTTCCAGGGTTGAATCGGTCCACCTTATATTTTAATTATCGACATTTTTACTCGCGACCCTCTAGATCCGTTGTGCGGAGTTAGGAATGCGAGTCTGATCGGTGCCTGGTTCAGAGCCTGACCAGCTCACGATATTCGTGAATCGTCCATTTCGAGAATTACTACGTTACGCGTAGAACGTTCTGACATAAGAATCGATGGAAACGAAGGATAAGTTCAACGTTAGTAAGACCGTTCTTGAAAGAAATTCAATTTTTCTGCCATTCTATGCGGATTGGTAGGACTATTGGAATTCCCAGCGAGAAATGAATATCCGGCAATGGTTCGGGAGACGCGTAGTCGCAAAGGACGTCGAGGATTAAGCAACGATCGCGGTTATCCCCGGAGAGTCTCGTATCTCTGCATTAAGTCTCGGTAACTGCTGGTCAGCCGGTGCTTAATCCGACGATCCAACGGGCGAAATCGTTCCCGAAGTCGCGGTTCGTGGAATCCTCTAGGAATTCCGCAACGCGAAGACTAGGATAACGCCTGTGCTCGATCCAACGCGGAGGGGTGAAGTCTCGACTTTGGTTCCACGCGCACCAGAACCGGTAAAATAGGGAGGATCGGGCCCATAATGCGTGCCCGATCGCGTTACGTTTTCAAATTGAGTTTTCCGTGAGTTTTCCGCGAGCGAGCGCCTCCCCTTTGGCTCGCTACAGCAGAAACCAGAGAGCATCGAGTAGCGAAACTCCTGGAGAGCAGCAGCGACGTCGAGGGGCTGGCAATACCGAGCGGATGAATCTTTATCCACTCTCGTGGAAACCGAAACGATTCCGTAAATTTTCGCCAGAAAGCGGGATAAAAAGGTTTTCGACCCTCGCTTCTTCGCTGGTATCGGTTTCGATTTCAGCGTTCAATTCGGATTTCGGATTGGCGCCCGGCAATCGCAGAGTCGACCGATCGCGTAGGGATTTCGGCTATACGGGAAGATTTGTTAATATTACTTTGGAAAAGAGATAAAAGATCCAACGGCGAGACCTGGATTTAGACTAAAAATATTAGCCGGTGTAGATGTTCCGTTAATGAGATCGGTACGTTGAAACGTAGGGGTATATAATGGAGATTTAAACGAAGGAAAAGATCTCGCCGAATCTAGGGGCGTTTAAGCAAATTTTACTAACGAGGGATCATCGCGGACACAAAAAATCAGAAAAGTTTGAAAAACTGGGTGCAAGTGGAGTGGGGTCCGTCTGTAACGCAAAACCATTTTTCGTTGGCGCGGAATTATAGCACGAGAAGTTTCATTATTATCCCTTGAAAAATGCAGTGTTTTGTTTCTCGTGGAATATCTCCGGAACAGTGAGAGATATCGAAAAAAAGTTTACATAAAAGTCGGATGTTTCTTTTGTATCTGTGCAACCGAGAACACCTAGTTACTGAAAATACCGTGCTTTGCAAGTTACCCTCGGCGTCGATCCTTGCAGTGCATATTTCTTCGTAACCACTTTTCATACATATGTATGGAAATACGTATATAATGATGGAAATTCCTTTGGAATGGAAAATTCTATATAAACGAAATGCATTGCTTTCTTTTGTTCGTCGCCTATCGTGGAGCGTTGTAAATTCGCCGAGTCGTAAAGAGTGACTTAATGGCAATTGTGTTGTTTAAAGCGACAAATCTTTCTTTCGAAAGATAGTTCTTAGACGTCGACGCAATCGATACAATGGTGCTTAACAGAGTAACGGACGGCGACAAAAACAAGGGGATTAAGTGCGAGGTTAGGCGAGAAGAATAGAGGTAGATAAGACAAAGAGCACAAAGCAGCGAGTGTCGCGACAGCGAGAACGCGCGGAAGACACAAAAGATGCAGCAAAACGGAAAGTATACAAACGGAACAGGTGACGGTATAGAGAAAGGGAGGGGAGTCACCTAGGAAAAAGAGTGAAAGCGTTAACGTAATATTGTTGCAAGAACGGACGACGATTATACCGGTTTAAAACCTTAATAACAGTATCGTTTGTATTCGTGATTTAAATGTTGGAAATTTTCAAAACATCCCCCTTTAGATTCCCTCCAGTTATAGATATACTGTAACAGAGGGTAAATATTGTTACCGTGTACTATTACTAATTATCCTTTCCCAGTATAATAATAATAATTAGGGGATGCGTATTGCAAGTTGTTCGACGAGGCGGAAATTGTGACATAATGGGAAGCATACTGGGTTCCCTTGCGATCGTCGCGACTGGTGGCCACGGTAATCCTACGCGCAGCCTAGAACTTTCCCTCGGTACGGTTTCTGGGTCACGGGCTGGATTGAACGTCGCGCGACGGCAGCGTAGCAAG